ATTTAATTTAACCTGATTCTCATTGAATAAGATTTCTCTCGCTGTATCCATCAAAGTGATAACATGCGTATTTTGGCTTTTTTTTATTTTGTAGTTGTTTTCTTTGACATTTCTACACAATTGGACCTTCAAAACATATGATTTTGTATATACATACATGAAATATATTTTAAATATATAGATATTAGCCTAATTAATTTGGCGAGAATGGTTTAACCCATTTTGCAGACATTTTTCTTCATGCAAAATACATCGCCGTCAAAAATAATCTCGACATTTCTTTGACAAGTCTAATAAGTAATAAGTTGGACTTCTATAAATCTCCCATAGAACATTTAGATCTAAATTAAATTAGCGCATATTTCGAGTACTTTTTTTAGGGGCAGATTATTTTTTTCATTTTCCCAAAAAAAGGATGCGGCGGGTCAGTAAACCGAAATATCAAAAAATAATGGCCTAACTTCCATAGATATTACCTCTTCATTATCGACGCGCTAAACGAATAATTGGCAGTTAAGACTCATTCAAATAATCACATGACACGAATACGTGTAATAGACACGAACTCAGATTCACTTGAATGATAACGCGCGCGATATGGACATTTGTTATTTATAACGCTGAAACATTTTATGCGAGCATGTCGAACAAATTATTTATAAAAGTTTGTATTGGAATCAAAGAATCAAAGTTTTGTGACAAGAAGCAATGTCGTGCGTCTTTAAAGAAATCACAAAACTTTACAAACAGAAATATTGAAACCCAAAAAGGTTGATTGTTAAAATAAAACCTAAAGCTACAGTCTCACTTACATCCCGGCAGAGCCCCGGTAGACGTCCGGGGTGATCCGGGAACGACTGGGGTACGACCGGGAACAACCGGGGTACATCCGTAACTCTGCCGGCAACGTCCTGGATGATCCGGGATGATCCGGGAACATCCGGAATTCGACCCCGGATGGAATAAAATATTTAATATCACCGGGGTGGTCCGGGATGATCCGGGAAGTATAGCTTTGCCGGCTTCATCCTTAGCTCTGCCAGGAACGACCGGGGTTACACCGGGGAAGCACCGTAGCTCTGCCGGCACAAACCGGAGATGATCCGGGGTATGATATAGCCGGTAGAGCTACGGAAGAGCCCCGGTGAATGCTGGCAGAGCCCCGGTGAATGCCGGCAGAGCCCCGGAGGATGCCGGCAGAGCTCCTGAGGATGTCAATGGAGCTACGGTTGATCCCGGTAGAGCCCCGGCAAATCGAAATGCCTGGATCGAACGGGGCTCTGCCTGGGTCAACCGGGGGCTCTTCCGGCGTCATCCGGGAACGACCGGGGAAGCACCGGCATAAACCGTAGCTTCATCTGGGCTCTGCCTGGATGATCCGGAGCGCATCCTGGGTGGTAAGTTGGGAATAACCGTAGTGCTGCCGGGGTTAGTGTGACCGCAACAATAATTACATCCCGGATCGTCCAGGATCATCCCGGTAACTTACCGGGATGGTCCTGGGCTCTGCTGGGAGTAAGTGAGACCGCAGCTTAAACTGAAATTTAAATTATTTTTAAATTAATTAACTTTATGTATTGTTTATGTTTATTGTAAGGTCATGCAGGGGGTTTCTAATTAAACTTTTATATTAAATTATATTCAGAATCTCAAGATAATTGTTAATTTAATCTAAAACTATAACGTTAATACATTCACTCAAATAAAATAAGGAAGAGTGTGATTGAACGTTCCTGTGGCATAATACAAATCGTTATTACAGTGGTTAATGACAAATCCATTTGTATTAAAACTTAAGGGATATAGTCCAAGAAATCAGTAAAATAATTGTGCACCTTCTGCGAAAAGCATGAAACTCGGCATGGTTGCAGGAAATCGTATTTCAATTCATTTCAGCCTGGGATCCACTTTTTAAAAATCAAAGATGGCCGCCAAAATCCAAGATGGCCGCCAAAATATACAATGTAAATGGGACATGACCAAAGGAAGTAATTTACGGCATGAAAATGATATAAATTGACATTGTAGGTCAAAAACAGTAATTTCTTTGAAAAAATGCTTTTGTAGCATCGATAGAATATTCAATATGGCTTCCAAATCCAAGATGGCCGCCATTAAATAATGATTTTTGGACAAATTGCTATGATATGGATATTTCATGTGATCAACACTGTGCATACATATAAAATACTAATATACTGGCCATCCTGCATAAAAACTGCACACACAGGTGTACATACACAGAGAAAAAAATGCATTTATGGATTAAACCATGAGAGCACATTATTGAACTTGATATATAGAAGAATAGGGAGCGATATTGTACAATCAAGACGTCAGTTTTTCAGTTGGGCTAAGATTTTACATGCAAATTGGGTTTGTAAAAATTACATAATGGAATAGGTATAAAGCTAGTTCATTTATTTATAAGCCTAACATAAGGTAACTATTAAAGGCCAATAACTCTATAATGGATTTTGACAGAATTATGACCCTTTTAAATATAGAGAATTTTTCATTATCAAGGTTCTTGTTTAGCTTAACAGTCGAACACTCTATGGTGTCCTACTGATAGCTCTTGTTAATGCGTATGATTTTTACAAAATGCTAACCGCTAATTTTAATGATGGCCCCAGTTACCTTATCAAAACATAACACAGAAGCTATTTAAAATCAGTACGAAACCAGATTCTTTATGCGGAAAACAGCATATCGTGGAATCACCGAAACAGTCGTACAAGAATAACTCTAATACAGGTTTTTGTGCATCCACATCTGCGGAAGTTAAATCCTGAGCCAATAAGATGATGGCTTTTTAAATGGGTCCTCGCGCTTCTGTAGATGTTAATGCTTGAAAAGGGTGAAATAATCCTGTATTGTATTGTATATTAAAGTGCACACAATTCCTTAGCTTATTCAGTAGTGAATTATACTAGTAAGTGTCGGAAGACGTATGGGTTTCTTCTCCTGTCAATTTATTTTAATAAATATAGTTTGCAGCATCCTTGTATCTTACTGCAGGTGCGTGTCTTTTTTCATAAGTAATTTGAGCAGCATATTTGGTGTCATATATAACGGAATCAGGCTCTTATTACGGCATTACTTTGGCAAGGTTTTGTGAATAAATTAGAAAATCAGAATAACATTGAACAAAAACAATTTCTTTGTTTTTTCGGTAATCAAACTACCATTAGTCATTCAAGATCAAGTTTTGACTTTACAGCTCTTTATATTTGATAATTTTGATATGAGATTCCATTTGTAAGATTGAACTACTAACTGTCTGACTACTGCATATTTCGGGGCTGCATTCCAGGGGCAACGCACTTAAATTTCTTGTTTATTTCTTCCTTATTAGCAGTTGAAATGCCATGCAGATAAAGCCTTTAATAATCATGTGTCTTTCTTGATATTACAGATGGATGCCTTTTAATCTCAGTTTTGTTTTTGTTTTTTGATTTCAAAAACAGTTGAAAATTTAGAAATTATAAATCTAAATACAGTTATTGTTTACATAGATTGAATGATTTTTGTTTGTTTACATGTCTCCACAACTGTCATAAAAGTACTGTACACATGAACTAGTGAAATCATGCCACATTTAGCTTAATTCATGAGTTATTTTTACTGTTTGCTGAAAATCATTTCAGCTTGTCATTTGTTCAGCTTTCTTTTTTAGCTCACCAGAACCGAAGGTTCATGGTGAGCTATTAGTATCAAAGTGGGATGCTCCACCGTCCGTTATCCGTCGTCAAGCGTCAACAATCGTCTTCTTCTTTGAAACTGCTGGGCAGATTTACTTCAAATTTGGTCTGTAGAGCTCATGTCATTTCAATTGGCCCCTTTCAAGGGTCAACTGAGCCAAAAATAGAAAAACCTTCAAACATTTTCTTCTACAGAACTAATTGACGGGTGATTACCAAACTTTGCGTGTAGCATTCTCGGGTAGTCTTCTATAAAGTTTGCTCATATTAATTTGATGGCCCTTTTTAGGGCCGTTAAAGCTATAAATAGAAAAACATTTAAACATCTTCTACTACAGGGGCCGTATTCACAACTGATCTTAAGTTATTTCTTAAGTTAAAACATAAGTTGAAAAAAAAATCTTAGCTAAGAAAATTTTTTATCTTAAGATTAAGTCGTATTCTGAAAATGACTTAAGAAAAACTTAGCCAAGATTTTTCTTAAGTTTAAGAAATATCTTAAGCAGTAAATATTTCACTTAAAAAAAATCTTAAGTTGGTTGCTAATGAAAGAGGGGTTTTCCGTTACTAAAAATAGTAACAGAAGTGCTCTTCAATGTCTAAAATTAGAACCGGGTGTTTATACGCTGTCAAATCCAGCTGAAAACATGTCAAAGTACCATATAAAACTAAAAGATGTAGATTATGTGGAAGGGATGGCAACATGAATTATAAAATGAAAATCTATATCTAAGTTTAAAACTATTTTAAGTTTTATAGCCTAAAATGGGAATCAATTTGGGGGAAATGGATACTCCATTTATGTTACTTGTCAAGGCCATGGCCTATGTATTGGCAAAACTCAATAGCACATATGAGCCGCGTCACGACAAAACCAACATAATGGGTTTGCGACCATTATGGCTCCAGACCAGCCTGCGCATCCACGCAGTCTCATCTGGATCCCTGCTGTTCACTTAAAAACCCTATAACAAGTAGAGAAACTGGTAGCGAACAGCATGGATCCTGATTAGACTGTGCGGATGCGCAGGCTGGTCTGGATCCATGCTGTTTGCAAACGCATAACGTTGGTTTTGTCGTGACGCGGCTCATATAAGATGACTGAACTTGATGGGGTAGGCTAGCCATTACATCACTTGAATCTTAAAGGATAAAAAAATTAAATAATAGAGGCGGGGGGTGGGCAGAAGAGGCCTCAGTGAAGTGACTTGCTAAAATTTGTATAAATAAGTGTATGAAGCCCATGGTAAAGGTAGAACTTATTTATGCATGGAAAGTTTAACCTAGTACAGACAGATGGCTTAAATTTCATTTTTTTTTCATTGAAATGTTGCGATAAAAGTTCTTTTAAAATAATACAAAAAGAAGGCATTTAAATTACATGTCATGCTTTTCAGCTGTTCTGCTTCTAAATGATAAATCATCTAGTGTGTAAACAAGTCACAGGTTGTTTTTTTTATTATTTATTCCCTTTTAATTGCATTATCAAATGTAAAACTTTACATGAACAGTTTTTTTTGACATCATACATACATGTTAGAAGAAAATACATATTTCAGAAGCTATAACCAAGTATATAGCCTATGCTTTCTATTTTTGACATTATGATAGTGCTTGCACTGCAGATTAATGTTTTTAGACATACTGAAAGCTGCCGGCATAGTAGTTTAGAACATTAAGAGGTATGCAAGCTTATATGAGCTGTGTCATGACAAAACCAACATAATGGGTTTGCGACCAGCATGGATCCAGACCAGCCTGCGCATCTGCGCAGTCTGATCAGAATCCATGCTGTTCGCTATCAGTGTCTTTACTTGTTATAGGGTCTGTAAGCGAACAGCATGGATCCTGATCAGACAGCGCGGATGCAAACCCATTCAGTGATTTTCCTACTTCTATAACAGACTCCGAAAAAAGGCCTCTTCCCAATTAAAATTTTCTTTAAAATCATGCAGTTTTCCCAAAAATCTCAACTTAAAGCAGCTTTTTTTATTTCCCAAATCAGTAATTTTAGCGACAATTTTTCCCAAAATCAAGAGGCCAAGGTCTCTTCCAAATTAAGTGAGAAAAATCACTGACTGCCATTATGTTGGTTTTGTCGTGACGCGGCTCATATCTCCAGTTCTGCAGTTTTGACTGTTCTAATTATACAGAAAATTTCATTCAAATGCTCACAAATTCCAAACAATTTTTCATGAATAGTTCAAGGATAGCAAAAAAAAAACAAGTAAGATTGAGCTGTCAGAAGAGCAGTGCTTATCTGGATAGTAAACTACATATTTTCTACAAAAATAGCTAATTTGAATAAAATCACATCAACCTCAACTTTGACTAAGCAGACTGTGCCCACATTTCATAACCGTGTTCTTGACCTTAAAAATCTTATTAAAAATATCAACACAGGTCATTGTGAACCATCACCATGACCTTTGACCCAAAATGAGTATCATGGCAGGTACAAGTCTCATCATGGTTAAATGTGGTACATACAATTTGTCAAAGTCTGATGTTCCTCAGTAAATGCCTATTAAATGGCTAGTTTTATGTTTGGTTACCACAAGTCCCAGTGACTTTGACCTTTTGACCTGAAAATGAGGGTACCAGGTTGAACTCATCAAGGTTCATCCACATATAAAGTTTTGATGTAATAGATTTGTAAGTATTGTATAATGAAAATCAACAACACCAACAGGTCAGTCATACCGAATGAATATAACATTCATTTTTTCTTCTATAAAAAGTGGAGCTGATAATCTTACTGAAAACAATTACTAGTAAATGTTAATTCTGATCTTAATTCACACAGTTCTTTTTCCATGAATGAAATTTTCTTTCATAGTGATCCCTTTGATAGTCTTCTAGTTTCTCACAAGTTAGAATGTTCATGTGTTTTTCGATGAAAACATTGGACCAATTCCTCTGGCACATTATGAACACAATCGGCAGTGATAGATATAACATTTTAAAAGTTAGTGACTATAAGGCTCCTTGATGATGTACCCAGGTATAAATCTTTTGGATTACTAGTGGTCTTCTAGAGTTTGATTCCTCTGATGAGTTCCAGTGTTTATGAACACAGTTAAGTCTTCATTGTTTCTATGTGTTTTTCATGTATTAAGTGTCCATGATTTAAAGTTGCAACAGGTGATATTTGATGTTATATGCCATGAGGTGTCAGATAGAAAATCTGATACATTATGGTAGTATATAGTCACTACACATTAATCCTGATTCATTCTCCATGTATTTGGTCAATGAAGTAATGCTATGTTCAGCAGCATTATAAATTATGTAACATGTTGCTACTATGTTGATATCTTTATTCTCCATACTACTGTCAGTCTGGATGACTACAAAATCCGAGGTTCATGAATAGTGTGATATCATCTGAAAATATAAAAAAAAAATTTTTAAGAAAATATAGGTACATAAATCAACAAAAGCTGTCAAAGGCGACAGCGAAGCTCGACTAATAAAATACTAGACACAGTACGGAACACAAAACTATGAAAAAAAAATCAAGTATGTATAATTATTATTATGTATTAAGTTATAGTAAAAAAATAACATTTGTTAACATAAATTCCATGTTCAAGGGAGAATAATTCTGGAAATAGTCATGCTAGAGTGATGAAACTTGTCACACAACATGTGTGTAATGATAAGAAATATATATATGAAGTTTAAAGTAGATACCTTAAAAGTAAAGAAGTATTTCTTAAGGTAATTCCTAATTTCAAAGAGAGATTAATCTGACAATATTGCGTCAATAGTTATGAACCTTGTAACATAAGATGTAATTGATGATAATGAATAAGTATTTGAAGTTTGAGGTAGATATCTTTAAAACTGAAGAAGTTATAGAAAAAACTACATTTTTCAAGTAAAATATCTTAGTTATGGGGAGATAATTCTTGCAATATTGGTGATAGAGTTATGAACCTTGTCATATAACATGTGGTTAATGATAAGGAACATATATTTGAAGTATGAACTTGATCCCTTAAGAAATAAATAAGTAACAGTAACAATTAGTATTTTTTTAAGGGAAATTCTAAGTTCAAGGGGAGATACATCTGAAAATATTGTGCTAGAGTTATGAACCTTGCCACATAAGACGAGGTTGATGAAAAGTAACATATATTTGAAGTTTGAAGTTGATACCTTAAGAAAATGAAAAAGTTATAGTGAAAAATATTTTACTAAACCAAAACTTTAACCTGAAATCTGAATTCTGCAATAATCCATGCTAGAGTAAAGTTATGGACCTTGGATGGTGATCAATTTTAATCGTTTTAAGTGACTACCTCAGTAGTTTTGAAGATTGAGGTAGCATCAGGAACTTCTAGTTCAAAAAGGGTTATAATTCTGACAAAAGCCATGCTAGAGTTATGAGCCTTGGATAATAATCACCAATTATGATCCAAAAAATATGTGTTAAGTTTAAATTGAATAATTTAATGTTGATGGTGCATGGAAAACTTTAACAGGGTGTCTGTTAGACCCTTCAAATTTCCAAAGGCCTGATTTGACCCTCAGGATTTTACCTGGAGGGTCAAATTTTGTTAAAATCATAGGGATTTGACCCTGTAGTCTGTAAAACTTGTTCCAAATGACCCTCAGGATTTCATGGCTAGTGAACACCCTGCTTTAAACAAACTGATGGCTGATACCCTAGTGTCAGTAAATTTACAATGTCTAAATTTTTTCAAACCTTTCGTTAGGTAGACTATTGAGATTTGACCAACATAATAATACTCATTGAGCTTTTTCATTCCATCATAAATCTATTTTTTTGTTTTTCTTTGAATTCCTTGTGATAGATTGGGCTGCTTTTGTTTTTTTTGCTTTTTATGACTGTCAACCTGCTTCCTATTCTATGTATTTAAGCAACAAGAACCTTTTAGTAAAAGATGGGTTAAAAAAAACAAAAACATTTCTATGCATTGTTTTCATTTGACAGACAGCTTACATGTCTTTTGTGCACACAAGTTGATATAATCCAGGGCGCTTCTAGTGAAAAATAAACAGCTCATGAATGAATCTTTGAGATTGGATTGGGTGTGTGATAAGAATTAAGAGTAATGCCTAAATATGAGGCAGGAGTATTTGAAGGGGTTGTTGGAAGATTCATGAAAACTATTCATTTTATTGTTGTTTGATCTCAGAGATACTAAGAAAAGATAACTATTTGAAGAAAAAATACTTAAAAAAATATATAACATAGATGTCACAAAGCATCATTTATAAAGCAAACCCTGGCGCACAATATGTTAGGCTATAATGAGTGACTAAATTTGAAACTCACTGGCTGATGAATGCAAATGCTGGACATTCATGGAATTTATTTTATAAAAAAATCAACATGTTGTGAATGTAGTTGTATACATAGGCCACTTCCAACAGCCTTGCTGTTGGGTTAACCCTTTAGCTCCTTGTTATCAAAAAGTTTGAGGTTTAAATCCCGGAGAGTACCTATGTATTTTTGGTAACGATTTGCCCCACTTTAGCGACGATTTGTCCTAACTTTAAAATATTTAATAAACATTTTTTAATTCATTTTGATGGAAAAAAGATTATGGTTGTGGTGTTTTCTGCATTTATTTGGCATAGATAACATTTTATATAGACTAAGAGATAGAATAAAAAAAATATCCGTTTAATGGAACTTACAATTACTAATACGGTAATACCATTTGTATATTTTATCAAACTTTTAGAGTTAAAACTAATAAATTTAACAAGAAATGTCAAACAACACATGCCCCCATTTCTAGCCCTTGACACATTATTGGTTATTTTGTTATAGACACTTGCCATAAATGGGTACTTGGAAGAGTTCAGTTAATTGGAAAAAAGAAAAAATAATGAAGACTTTGTGATAAATAGTTTTCAAGATAATGAGCAGACATCATTCTGACTTAAAAGGCCTCTGTGACCTTAACCTTTGAACTAGTGACCCAAAATCAATGGGGTTCATCTAATAGTTATGACCAATCAAAATTAGAAATATGAAGACTTTGTGATAAATTGCTTTCAAGAGAATGAGCGGAAACCTAAACCATACTAACAAAATGAAGAGAAAAAAACTGAAACAATATTATATCATTTGTATGGAACATATTTATAATACATTTGTAATAAAATTTTATCTCGAACGCTTTTAGCGGGCATTGAAAATGACAAGCTGGTTGTTTGCTCACCAATACAAGATGAAACGCACAGGTCTGTTTTTCATGATTCACAAGAACACTACTGTATAATTGACCTTAAAGTCTGTGGGTCAATATCATGCAGTAGTTACATGTAGATCATGACAAAGTATTTTTAATAATTAAAACTTGTAAATAACATGTACAGAATTTCCATTGGCTAACGAAAACACTTCAATTAAAGGTGAAATTATTTCTGATAGATCACAGTGCAGGGATTTTTTTTGGCTTGTTTTATAGCCGATATTCGGTCATATTCCAAATTGAAAATAGTATATTATTTTCCCAATCCAAAGAAAAAAATTCCCAATTGAAAGTTACAAAATAAAAATATTGAATAAAAAATGTAAAATCTTTGAAAATGAGGGCTTCTTCACTGTTATATTGCTTAAATGTTTGAAGATGCTAATCCTAGACAGTGGTTGTTTGCATTATTTAATCACTGCAAGTCTTAAGTCATGCATTTTTTTCCAATCTTTAACAAAATATCGTTGAAATTCCCAATTCCATGGGTATGGGTCAAGTTCCCAAAATCCTGAGAAAAAACCCTGCAGTGTTTTTTTCTTTATATAAGTTATAACTACTACTCGAAAAAGGTACTGTTCCCAATGGTAAAAAGACATGAAAATTCCCAAATTCTAATGAGAAAATTCTCAAAATGACTGTTCAAAATTCCAGCAGGCCATGATATTTCTCTAAAATGATTATATTTATATTAATTACTACTCAATAGTTCTACCTGGACACTGGATGATGTTAACTGTCTTTATTCATTATGGCTAATCTTATTTGTAGCTGAAAAGATGCTTAATAAAATTTGAGTCAAAATAACAGTCTGGTACCGGCACCAATTACCAAAGCAGAGAGAAAAAACCTGCTGGATCTATCCGATATCTTGTCATCATGATAATATAATGGCCGAACATCATCGGTAATATTATTTAAAAAAAATATGTATGCTTTTCTCTCGTCGATTCGTGACTCTTATTTGGAAAAATTGCACTTGCACAACAAATTTTAGACATACATACAGTTCAATTAGTGCATTTGTTAAATAAATTCATTATCTTAAAGTTCAAAAACTTTAAATTACTTCTAAAAACAACCTCTCAAAGATTAGAGCATTTGAACATGTCAACCATGACTGTCTTGCTCAGCTGGACGCTTACCCATCGATTCGTGAAATCCGATTCACCCTGTGACGTCATCAAAATATAGGTGCTCACACCACTAATTGTTCGCATGGTTATTTTCAGTCCGATCTTATCAATATATGTTTCAAAGTCTAATGTAAATTCTTACAGCATAATGAATATTTTTTTGGCTTAATTGTAAGTGTGTTTGATAAATTAAAACATTAATATCGAATATTTTAAAGTAATTAGGTCATCAGCTGATTGTAGGGTAAGCACATTTACACCTGTTCAATTACGCATTTTGATTGGATAGAATTGTCAAATCAAGTGTCTAATAAAACTTGTGTAGTTTTCGGATTGTGTATGTCCTTGCAGAAGTATTTATACCAGCCATTTATTTAGGTCACGTATCGATGAGAAAGCACGAATCGATGAGAATAAGGCATATGTTCATTCTGTGTGAAAATGTAATAAGACCTGCAAATTACTGACTTCATCATTGCATTTATCTATTATTGAAAAACAACTGTACGGCTAGCCACAACAGTGTGTATTGGCTAGATATATGTGACTCACATACAGCTAGAACTTCTGGCACACAGTACAGGCGCGTATGGTAGCACACTTGCTAAATACAAAGAACATTTTATTTCACAAATAAACGGTTACCAAAAAAAACATTTCATCTTTTCATTTATTTATTTTAATAACCTAAAGGATGTTTAAAAGGATCATTCTAAGGTAGGACGAATCGTCTCTAATCTGAAGTGAACCATCAAAAAAGTGGGGCGAAACGTTCTTGGGCGAATCATCAGTGGGGCAAATCATTATCAATTCAGCATGTGTCAGGTTTTCAATAAACACATCGGTAATACGGAACATTATCAATTTGCATATGTAAATTATTCAATTAAAATTATCCGCTAAGCATTGCAAGCTTGTGATAGCCATAAGTGATTCTCGCGAAAACCAGTGACATTCCAAATAAACACTCGTAAGCGTTTAGCGGTTATGTTTATCTCAAAGAACAACACACAAACCGACATTTTACATTTTTCTGTGCACAAATATTTTCTTTACAAGTACTTACCAGCAAGAAACTGACGATCATACTCCGGTTTGTGAAATGAGCGTCTCCTTTGCGTCTTCAATTTTTGCCGATTTAACTCCCTTGTTTTACTCACATTTATCGTGTGTATAAATTACTTTGAACGAAATCATTATTGCTGTAATTATTGGCGTTGATTACCTCAATGATATATCTAATACTAGTAAAAAACGCAAGTTTTCAATCGAATCGACGATTTACCGTCCGCCATTTTTAAGATGATTTACTGCCAAGTTAAGAAATTTCTTAACTTTAAGATAGGGTAGTAGCTGACTTATATTTAAGACAAAAATTGTCCATCTTAAGACAAAACTTAAGATAAAAAACAGTTGTGAATACCACTTAAGTATTTTGCGGATTCTTATCTTAAATCTAAGAAAATTTCTCAAAATATAAGAAAAATCTTATATTTAAGTCAAAAAATTAACTTAAGATCAGTTGTGAATACGGCCCCAGAACTAGAACTACATGTAATTAATGGATGATCACCAATCTTTGTCTGTAGCATTCTTAGGTATTCTTGTATCAAGTTTGCTCATATGAATTTGATTAGCCCCTTTTAGGGGCCACTAAAGCTAAAAATAAGAAAAACCTTTGAACATCATTTCCTACTGAAATAATTGACAGATGATCACCAAACTGCTACTTATTAACCCATTACTTCATATACACGCCTTTTAACGCCTTTTTCACCCCCCCCCCTTCTGTTTGGGGGGGGGGGCGTTGAAGGGGGGCGGAGTACCCCTCATCGCCAAGAAAATTTTGGACTTGTGAGAGGCTGTAAATGACCCCAGATTGATCATAAGGTAACGTGTAACCAACGCTGAAAAGCATTTGACTCTATCTCAATCCATTGAGAAGTTGCAGCACTTTGAAATCAAATTTGATGGAAAAAATCAACGCAAAAAAGTGATTTTTGGCAATTTTGAGATGTCCCCTCGTTGCCATGGTAACAGAAAATTTAAGTCTGAGCATGTTGTTGCAAGGGCAATGGTCCAGTCATCATTTGTGCCAAGTTTGATTAGTGTTGAAGCAGTTTTTATAGTATTATAGCAATTTGAACTTGTAACGGAAGACTTTTCAATGAAAACAGCCATTTTTCACAAAATGCTCATGAAGTAATGGGTTAAATCATCTGAATAAGGCTCAGCTTAGTTTGATTGCAAGTTACTTGCCCTTGAAATTACCTAAAACTAGCAAAGATATTCTTATTCAAGGGCAGGTAATGCAATTATGAGATGGTTTGACCCCCGTTTTTTGTTTTTAGTATTCTTTTGTTTCTTTTATTGTGTTCTTAAACCAAGTAAAAATGCTTCTAAAAAATAAATCTGAGACAGTTTATTTATGAGCATGTTTTAATATGAAACGGATGTATTAAAACAGTTTATTATTATATTAGGTTATGCGGCCATATTTAACTTTGTCACCCATGTTGATATCTTTAATAGATTATCTTCATGCTGATATGTTTAAAAAGCATGAAACATAATGTATTTGTGCTATTTTTACTAATTTGAAAATGACAACAGCTGGTAAACTAAAATAATCTGAAAATTTATATATGGTGGCCATCTTGGATTTTGGCAACCATGTTGGATTTGCAAAACCTAGATCCGAGGCTTGGATATGATATTAATAAATATGTAGTAATGTAATACAATAATTATAAATTGGTGTTATTTCACACAGTTCTGTCATAACGACAACAGCTGAAAACTATAACATTCTGAAAATTTTAATATGGCGGACATCTTGGATTTTCGCAGCCATCTTGGATTTGCACAACCTGTATCCGAGGCTTGAATATATATAAATATGTAATATATTAAAGTGTTGCTATTTCATACTGACCAAAAAAGACTGTAAAACTTTAATACTCTGAAAAAATAATATACGGCGGCCATCTTGGAATTTGGTAGCCACTTTGGATTTGCACAACCTGGATCCGATGATTGAATATGAATTGATGTGAAATTTAATGAATTGGTGCTATTTCATACAGTTCTAGTTATGCCTACAGCTGAAATACCCATTTTTCTGAAATTATAATATATGGCGGCTATCTTGGATTTTGGCGGGCATATTGGATTTTTAAAAAGTGGATCCCAGGCTGAAATGAATTGAAATACGATTTCCTGCCACCATGCCAAGTTTCATGCTTTTCACAATGGGTGCACAATTCACCCTATTTTATGCACGGATTTCTTGAACTAATATGTGTATAATTGAAACAAATCAGTGTCAATGATTTTGTTGGCATTGTGTTTGTGAGAAATTCAAGCGAGAAACTACATGCAGTGTTTTATTGAAGTTAAATTTCAATCGGTTCTATCTAATCTATCTTAATTTATTTTTTTAAACAACAAGCAGTATCAATGCGAAAGAAACAAATTGTCTGCATAATTTTGAAAAAAAAAACACAAAAAAACCCACACACACAAGTAACACCCCCGCCCCAAAAAAAACAATGTCAACCCCTCCCCCCACGCCACCACCCCCCCCCCCAAAAAAAAAATAAACAGAAAAAGCAAAAAAAAAAGTTTACTTACAGGCATGATGATCGTAGACCGAAGTGGTAAATTATAATACCACATATATCCCATAGCATTAGGTTGAGCAGAAACTCATTGTTCAGTTATGAGATTGAAGGTGATTTAAGCCACATACATTTCTGCAGATGCTTAGATTTATCATGAACTCTCCGTGGATGGCATGTGAAATTCCTCTGATTATGATCATTATGTAATGTATACTTGTATAAGTTTATATTTGACATGAAAATGACACTATTCATTTATTAATTTATTTTCTATGTTAGTAACCAAAGCAACTACATTTCTGACAAAAAAACATTTCTTCAAATCAAAGGTGCCTCATTAAACCCCTTAACACATTCAAGCTCAAAGGTTGTGCGTTTAAATAACGATTTATATCAACATCTATCAATGATCTACAATCTGCTTATTGAAATTCCTGACTACTAAAACGGGAATACCTGCTGTTGTTCTATTAAAGAGGCAGTTTAGATTATACCTGAGGAAACACGGTACATCTTCTTCATTTTGCTATACAATTATATATACATGATGTATCATTTATCTAGGTCGTATGCATGTTTGTCATATAACATGTAGAATATTGTTATTTCTAAAGGAAATTTGTGAAAACCAATAATTTGTTAAAAAATTACAAGGCAAATACAAACAAAATTCGTCATTTTTACAGCCACTACATAAATGCTGTACATGTTGCCTAAGCAGGTTATGAATATTTCGCTGATAATAACTGGCAAAACTGTTGAATATTTTTAGTTTATATCACCATTTTCATATTATAATAAATATTCTTGCTTAAAGAACCTCCTTTTGTTAAGAGAGATCCAAAATGAACATGGAATCATTTTAATATCTTTTCAATTATCAATTAAATAGTTAGAATCAGAGTCAAATTTAATATAAATTAAACAAACATAGTTATTTCCATTAGTTTGTTTATTTACATATTTAACCTTACATTTTATATATCTAATCTTATCTCATTTAGGATAAAACTGCATCAGATCAAATATGTTTAGAATGTAAAATGTTTGTCTCTACTATTAAAGTAATCATATATTGCAAGGAAATCCATGGAAAAAAGGAGATTGCGTGTCTGTTTCTTCATTCTTTGTCATCGTTAACGACAGGACAAAATGTTTTCAGTTATTGCATTTCAGAAAATCAGCTTAAAGGAAAGCTTAATAACTATTGTTTTACCTTGTATTCTGGAATACAGCATTCATCAATCGTTCTTAAAAGATTATTTGTCACTCTATAGTGACAACCGAACACCACAATTCATCACAATTACGTCGCATCCACTTTTATTATGACCGTTTTTTATGTTTATATACTGATTTTGATTGTCTCGAAATGACGTTGTTGCACTCGAATTGACGTTTTCTGCGACCATACAAATCCTTTTCTCACAAGTAGCGTTCTGCGTCTAGCTACATAAAATAAATGCGCACGTGTTCGAGTTATTGTTAACATTTTGTCTTTGCCACGCAAGATATGAAAACATTCGGCGTTTATTTCAAAATAATTGATAATTGAAGGTATGGCCATCCTAATGCAGTTCCTCCGCTATGAAGAGTATTCAAATAGGCTAGAACTATTGTCAATTACATTGAAACTTACGGCCCAGAAGGGTGAACTAATTTTGTTTCTTTCATTTTTTTCTTTTAACAATATTTATGTAACACTCATGTCACTTTTGCGAAGAAAAAAGTGTTTAACTTTAATTATTTAATTAATTTAGGTATTTATTTGCTAAATAGTGCTGAATCTAATCCGAACCTAGTGCCCACTAGGGTTGTCATACCTTAAAAGCCTGTTTGTACAAATATACAATTATACATCAATGAATACTTATCAAACGTGTCGGCTCGGATATAAACGCTTATTTTGTACCCAATAAAGCATCAGCATCAACAATCCTTTATGCCAGCTTTGATATATTTAACAAACATTGTTATTCTTGGGTAATAAAATTACCAACATCTGGGTTGTATTCGTTTTATGTATGGTAGCACAAGGTCATACATTGAACATATTTCTTTCTACAATGACTCATGTGAAGTATCCATGTGAATAATACATTTCTGACTATTTCAATCTAAATGACGTTGTGTTTAAAACATAATATGTAACCAACTCCAATCATATAACAAGTATTTTGGTTCCAGGGAATTGTTCCTTAAGAATTTAAATTTGTTCAATGACACTTCAATTGTGCATTATATCAACTTTGGCAAATAAAAAAAAAATAGTTTTGTTCAAAGGATGGGAAGAAACAAAATCGGAAATATGATCTTAATATTTTACTTGCAGTATTTTATTAGGTTGTGGCGTTTGAGTTGCTCATATTTTTATTAAGGTGATTAAGCTTTTGAGGAATTTCATTTTATTACTATGAAAATACGCGGGCATTGTCCTTATCTAATGTACTGTGTTAAATTAAAATGTGCCATAACATAGACAATGTAGTGTACATAAGGAAAAGAAATCATTGTTTTCAAAGAACGCCCCGAAACGTCATATAACTGAAAATGTTGATGGGTCAGCTTGTGTGAGCAAGTTCTTGAGAGTTAGTTATATCGTGCCTAGAACATTTTCTTTTCAAAATTTCCTAGTTGGCATATAATTCATGTTATTTATGTTTTCCCCATTAAGATTGTCTGTGAAGCTGATGCATCCTCGATTCTCAACGGATTTCTTAAAGATCATATCGTTGACATGCTTGCAATGCTTTAAATGCAGATTGATCATATATGAAAGTGAATTGGCTTAAAATGAGAACAACTTCCATAAGAATTTAAAATATTGATAAAAACAACAATAGAAATGTATAATGTGGGTATGAATGTAT